CTGAGGAAGATATTGCCACCAGCCCTGAAGATGGATGCAGTATGTTCTTTCGAAACGTTGGGTCTCATACAAGTCCACAGGAAGTTACGACCCAGAGGACTGTCAAGGAAGTTTTGGATCAAAATTCTTTTACATATTTATTGTGATGAAACCCTTTTTTTTCTTAAATAAAAGTTAAGGGTTTCATGTAAAGCAGATGGTTTAACTGATACAAACACATCAAAATTAAACTTGTCTGACAATTTAACTGTGGATTTCAAGTACGAAATTTAATCGAAATCCTTCAGTAGTTTCAGAGATAAAACACACAAGCCGTGGCGAACACCTCCTGCCGTGCTATTATGCGTCAATTATATACGCCGTGTGTAAATATGTCAAGTTGGAATAAAACGTATAAAATTGTTTTGCATTTATCGAGTCTGTGTCCTGCAGACTGCTTTTAAGTTACATTCAGATTGTTAAACGAAATTATCAGTTGTAAATGACATCATTTCAATGTTAGTGGTAAAGCGTGAAGTCTATTCACGTCCATTAGGGCCACTGGTTGCTTAGAAACGTGTTATTGCAGTAATCACGTGACCTGTTTTCCATTAAAGTCGTGACACGTCCGTTGAAAGACCATGATGTTCATTTATCTTGCCGTGCTGTATTGTGGAAGCAAGCCTGGAACTGTTTCGTACTTCCAGTAACAAAGGGGTTTGAAGTTACAGAAAATCGAACTATAAGCAAAAGTGTTCGTCTAACTGCAGAGACTGTTATTTTATCCAACGAGTAACTGACTGATCCTAATTGAATAATTGAGTGCCCAAGTTCACTGATCTGTATTTTTATTCCACTACCTCCATCTACAGACGGTTTCCCTCACCATAATCTCGTTTGAATCTCCTATTTCGCTTATTCGAATTACATCCTGGGCTATTAACTATTAAGTTATACAACTGGTTGTAATGAATTAAATTATTCAAGGTACTTACAACCCTCACGAGACGATCTCCTGATAATTCTCAGCTTTCCAAACCTTCCGTTAAGACATTTGGAAGGATTCGTTTAAACGGGAGGCGGCCCTGAACATTATTTCTATCTACAGTCTAAGACTGTAATCTTGAGACTTGCGGGGTGATGAAGTGGGGTGAAGGAGTTCGGACTTCCTGCATTCCTTGCAAGTCTCAATATTACACTCGCGTACTATACACAGGACAGCAGAGTCCACAAATACGCGAATATACGTCTATGGGATTCGAATTTACAATTCCAATTTTCAAGCTCTCCGTATCTTTCCACTCTTGCCATCCGGAGGATGGACCCATAAGTGGCCGCAGTTTCATAGAGACGTTAAATGTGTAACAATGCAACAGGATAAGAGTGATGTCAGAAGTCACAATTATTTCTATGTTACATTTTTATCCTTTGGAATCTATTAGCGAACCGAGTGTCTGTCTGTCCGTATTCCGCCTTATTTATTACAGACTTCAATATTACAATTAAATTATTGGCCTGTTTTCGTGAAACAGACAGATGGCGCTGGAAATTCAGTGTAGAGTGCTTGGTAGTTTGTTCAATTGCTTGACATTGAAAATGAGACTTTTATTACGACAATTTTTGTAGGAACACGACCGCACGACATATTTCCATTTGATGACGATAACTGACGAATTATTGTAACTGGACATGGGAAAACACATGACTGCTATGATATTAACTGTAAAATGAAACATGCTAACAGAGAAAGCAGTTAATACCTGCTGTCTGCTGTTCTGCAATGTCAGCTGTGACTAAGAATGTCGACACACTTATAGTCTCGTAATGACTTTATACCAGTGAAGTGTTTTGGTTTCGAATACGAAATGTGTGCCACGTCTGTTATAACGTTCAAATAAACAGAATGGCTGTTTATAGGATCAGACGACATAAAACAAGAACGCCAGTATTTAAAAAAATGGGGTGGAACAACACGAAAATTAGGAAACAGTGCTCAGATATGCAACATAAATAGGTACAATATTCCTAGAAGTTTACCAGGTATACTCCAATGGAGTATACATACTTTTTAATTTCCCTCTTTGCAATTTTGCTTACGTCACTGGCCTTGACGTTTGTGTATTGCGTGCACAAATCATCGCGTGGCTAATCACATTACGTAGCTTATCACACTGCAGTAAGCAATTATGTTTCACTATATTTACTTCAATATTTACCACGTAGAGAAACACTTGAAATAAAATCTCTATATGTTCATGAAGTTTCTTTGGTTTAAATTATTTGATCAGGGTCTATATTATTGACGCCTGAAATTTAATCAGTGAACAATTTGACAGACGGCCTCGCAACTCGTTTAATGTCGCTGTGAATTACGTTTTCAACTTCGGGACCCTAAAATATTTGTTGTCATCATGCATTGCTTTTGTTTGAATCTATTCTTTGATTTTAATACTGAAAGATGGTTTCAGGTTTTGCGCTGCAACATTAATAGAAACCGCATTTCGGAGCTCAGAGCGAATGTTGGCGTGTTTAAACGTTTGAAAGTTTTAAGTTACACTTTCTTTTCAAGACATCACGTGATGGCAAGGTATGACACCTGCATGTTTAAGTACATTGTAACAGTAAATTAATTTACATAACCACTAGCATACACAAAGAAACAGAAGGATGTTCGTCTTTCAGCTTCAGTGTAATTTTTCGAGGCAAAAGCACTTTTCGTTAATGATATAATTAGCGCAGAACCCAGTATCATGATGTGGAAGTCAAGATTATTTTTTAATCAAAAGGCCACGGGATTTTATCTGTTACATACCGTTTGTCTTGACTGAATGGTTTTCGTGGCTTCCTCCAGATATACGTATGATGGACGTAAAAGGTGAGCTGGCTTAAATTTACGTTCGTACCAATCCATCATTCATATCACGCAGCAATTCACTGCTGTATAATCAGCATGTAGATAAATATTCTGATAAATAAATTACCATCACGCTGAATACTGACAAAGGACATGGATCACACTTACATAAAACAAATTCCCTGACCGTAGCTCCGAAAAATGTATTTCTGAGTGCGGAGCTGTTACAGAATGTCCCACGTAACTTGGGACCCACTTACTAGCATGCGACGTCAATGCTGTGCGTTATGACCGACTCATTTCCCGGTAGTTCGCTCGCTGTGATCTCGGTATTCTGTCATGGCCGGTTCCATCTTAAGTGGGACATTCTGTATAAGGAATGTTCAACAAATAAGTGAACAGCCTGTATGATTCAGAGAGGACCAGAACCATGTCGTACAGCCATAGTTAGTTCAATAAGAGAATGTTCTAGAGTGTGTGGTGTAATGCTGGATTAATTCAGCCACCTACTAACTCATGGAGCTGAGTCTTTCGAAAGCTAATACTGCGCTCTGCTAGTCAATAAATTCACGTATTTTATGGAAGCCGGAAGTTTATTACCGTGTTCACAAGAGCTCGCCACTAATCCCTGTCTCAGATTTGTCTCTGCAACAAATCGACACTAAGTCCAGCTGGGCTTGAAAAGTAGCAAAGAAAGCGAAGCTGAATTAATGATCCTCATTCGACTTTGCTACTGTACTGAACTACTTTGCTACTGTACTGAACTTCATGACTTTCTGACCTAGAAACATTTTTATTGGTTTGCAACATTTATATCATAGCTCACGACTTTAATTCTGTTATTTCACTGTATTAACTGCTGATATTATTTAGCGAAATTACGGCAGACCTTGAGGAAGTGACCGAGACCTATTTTAAGGTATTACCTCTGCCACTGCATGGAGGAACTGAGGAAAACTACAAAAATAGAAACCAACTTATTTTATGCAGGAAACTATGATATGGCGGACACACAAGAATGAGAGATTTTAGGTTATTTGAAGAAACTGTTTCAACTGCAGAGGTTAAATGGTGTCCAGTGTCTACTGAACAGTGTGTTGTATCGGTAAAACTTTACTTAGTTCATTGCTAACGGATGTCATAAGGCCTTATTCAGTCTCTCCAGATGAATTCCGAGATATAATCATAAAATAGGCCACGACGGCTTTCTTATAAACTCACATACGTGTACGTATGTTCCTATCCTCTTCCCACTGCATGCGACTGCAATAAGTACGCTGATGAAACAATAGCATTAGAAATCTAGGTATTAATAAATAAATCAATCGTGTGGGTAGGGTTTGAACCTGGTGTGTTCCAGACGAGAGTCAGCTGCGTTACTGCATAGTTACGTCACCAAGCTTCATGATAAACATGACATATGTTGAAATAGATAACCGCAAAGCGGTTTTGTCATAAGAGTAGAAGAAAAATTCAGCGGATATAAAAAATGAGTCGACTTCATTGATACGAATCTGACGCATCACAGTTCGTGGTTGAAATTACCCAGTCTGAATGTCGTTTTAATCTTGAGAAGCTTTTACAGTGAGCGAGGTTTCGCTCGAAGCTTTATAACACATGCGTGTGGACAAACAAATTTGAATTATTTACGAGAGATTAAAACAATCAGTTTCCCAAGGTAAAACCAAACGTTTTGGCAAGAATTTACGATGTTGCTGTCTTTAAAATTGTGAGGGTTGCAAGAAATACGAATTAATAAGTATACAGTTTAGTGGTCGATTTCTGTGCCTTGAATGTGTGGAGATAAACTTCTAATCATTCTCAATCCCATGATTGGTTACCTTTAACACCCGGCTGGCTCCTGCTACCTTTGGATTTAAGGCTGGGTGGGGACCAAAGCCGGTCTGGCCGGAAAAATCCGTCCTTTCCGAGAATCGAACCCCGGTCGTCGAGTCATCAGAATAATAAAATCTTCAACACGAATTTTGTAACACACTAAAGATGTATCTGGATATCGTTTGTTGCGTTTTGAATTCTACACCGGGTAATGTAGGTCTATAATTTATTTGTGCCATTTTTTAATTAATACATGCATTAACTCTAGTGTCTACATTTTTATGGCATCTGTGACTTTTTGTTTAATATAAGAAGGCTTTGTGTTACTCACCCACACGTGCAGAGTTCACAGATACATTGTTCCTTGATGGGCCCCGAATATTTGTAGTGTAAATCCGCCTTTTTCCCTTCTTCCTTCTTGTCGGTTGTCGTCCCAGACTTCTTGACTGACTTAGATGTGATTTCGGTACTGCTAGTGGTGGCAGCTGCTTTGGACCCTTGAACATCAGTGATGACGCTCGTTGAATGTTGAACTGCAGTCCCGCCCTGTTGAACGGACGATGCTGAGTCTCCGCTGATTAACATCTGTTGATTTAGGGACTCCACCGTTTCTGATGACTGACCACTGGACACATGTTTTTGTGATGACTCCGAGGTGCTGGAAGTGATGAACTCCTGACTGACGTTACGTGTCTCCGTTGAAGTAGCAAGTTGATGCTGTTGACTATCAACAATGTCGTTGTGGTGGCTGCTGGAGGCTGCCAGGAACTCTTCATGGCTCTGGTGTTGAAGTTGTAGATTTCCTGAAGACTGTGTGGTGTAAGAAGTTACGACTTCCGACGTTGAGGAACTTGATATTGATTCGTGTTTGCTTTGTGACACCTGTGTTACTGAAGATGAAGATTCCTCAACATAAGTGTTACTAGCTGAATCTTGAGTGAGAGCAAGTGATTGGTCCAGTTGTGATTGAATATTCTGAGTGTTGGAAGATTTTTTATTACTAAATGACTTAGCAGTATTGAAATTGGACGATGAAGATTCACTTTTGTGAGAAGATTCACTAACAGACGCAGAAGCCGAAACGACCTCGTGTTTTAACGACAAACTTTCTTGGTTAATTACCGGTGATTCTCCTGTTGCTTCAGTGATGGCAAGAGTTGAATGTTGACCGGTAGATCCGTGTTGGAGTTGTTGGCTCTCGTTAGTTGTAACAAATTCGGTGGTTCCTCCAGTAACCACGGTTGACGAACTACTGGACACGGACTCTACTATTTTGTTACTGCTGCTGGTTTTACTAGCAGCAGTCGAACTGATTACAGTTTCTTCAGCAGAGGACGATACAGTGTCATAAGTAACTCCACCAGTAGATCCAGCAATGATCATCTTCGTCGAAGCATCAAAAGTGTCTTTGATGTCACTGCATGTCCCATTTGCAAAAGCAGATTCTTTGCTGACGGCTGCTTCTTTGTCAATAAGCGCAGCTGACGTCTCACCATTTGTGACTTCAATTGCCTTTGTACCTGAAGAGGAAGATCTTGTTCCTGAGAAAGAAGATTGCATGCCCTTGGTAATAGCAGAAGTTGATGATTTTACAAGAGTCGTAAATGCCTGCTTATTGGTTGATTCAGATTTCTTACTGCTTTCCGATGTCGAATCCTTAACTTTCGTAACATTTGTTTTCGTTTTGTTTTTACTGCCACTAGGCGTGACATCTTTTTTCGTCACCGTCATTTTATCACCTGTTTATTTCACTGTCACGACGTCACGTTCGTTTTTCTACACAATTCGCGAATTTAGTCACTACTACTGGACAGTGGTCGGTGTTACCGCCTTACATGACGGCATCTTCTACTGAAGTGACTGTCTGGTTGTGTTGGATACCAGAGCCGTCTCCTACACGTAATAGTGTTTCTGGTTGGCCAATCGCAGCTCGGGGCCTTGAAGGCATCCCACAACCAAGCGCGGGCCGAGGAGACACCAGTACTTAACATTACGCATTGCAGACATGACACTTGAGGTCAAATTAAGTGGTCCATGTTGGGAAAAGGACAAATTGATCAGTGGATGTAGCACGAGAGGTGTCGTAGGAAAAGGTTGAGGGCCGGTTTTCCTTTACTCCTGTTTTGGTCAATGATTCCTGCATGACTGCGAAAGTCTAGCTTACCTGCTACGTCATTTCAACGTCACTGTTAAGTTTACGTCACTCTTATATACGGGCCAGCAATAGCGTGAGGCAGGATAATCAATTAGTTAATTTCACATGCTCGTTGAAATAGGACGGGAGTGGGGGGTTGCACATTGCACCTGTTCTTGAAACCGTACAAATTCAGCCTGCTAGGATATGCAGACCGCCTAGTGATACATTCATGAAATTCACGAGCCAGAGATATCTAACGGTAGGGCGATTCCTGGAGATGTAAAATGTTAAGTTATTCTTGTACCTAATTTCCAATCTATCAGGACGTATAGAGGAGTGGAGGTAAAGCTCCACGTGTTTTAAACCTCGACGATAATTCGACGTGGTGGGTAGAAGGCAGGCTTGTGTGATTTCAGCCGGGGATTTAAATCCATAGCTTTCTCAATTCGATTTCTGAGTTCAGAGACGGAAATTAGATTTATTGGCCTAACACGGGACTTTATAGTCTGAAGCGTGTAGAAGGTGATGTGTGTAAATGTCATTGTGTGTCAAGTAAGACTTTTTCTTACATATGTAGCTTGTGATCTGTAATTAGAACAGCGAAAGTGCAGTCTCTTCGTTATCAACGTGAATTGAAAACCGAGAAACAACAGCAAATGAGTGTAATATAAGCACGTAGAGTAGCAGATTCAAGTTATTACTTTGGATTTAGGAGATTAAAGTAACACCAGTGTTCAGTGTTTACAAATATAAATTAAGTATGTCCGTTTTAAATCGTATGAAATTTGTTGGATGTCTTCATCGGAAAAGCTAAACCATTCTTTGCATCCAAGAACCTCTGGCTCTGTGCATTAAATTGAGTTAGTATTAAATAATGACTAGAAAGTTGTTAACAGAATTAATTATGAAGAGAGTAACAATTTCTTAAGTAGACATATACATACGTGCAATGATATTATCCTCCAGTTTAACGAGAAACAGCATCATGTTAAACAGCAACCAAGTGCACTTCACGATATCAGCCAAGGCTCGTATAACGCGATGGCACGTCTCGCCTCTGAAAAGTGCAGTTATTTCAGTCCTTATACGACGTTAGATAAATGACGTCATCATGTTCGCTGGAGGGAAGTCGAACACCGGCTTTGTTCATTCCTTTGCTAATTTATGTTGGTGTTGCGATAACAATTTTCAAAATTTTATATCATTTTACATCAGACAACTATCACTTTTTAAACGTAAGACAGATCGTCACATCCAGTCACTTCATCATCGTCTTCCATGAAGAGGATCAGGTTACGCGGATCCAAATCCAAAAGTATTTTTTTTCTCAAGTATTTCTCATGTAGGAGTCTCTTATTTACCTTTAAGACACGCTTGCAGTTAAATTTCCACATGATGCTTAAAAAGTCATTTCTCATCTGGAGAGAAAGGTATTTCGTGCAATTACACATACCAACTACGCAAGTGAAACAAACTTAGGTGGTTTTATAAAGCAAATAAATAAACTACCAATGTTACTTTTGTCTTAAAATAATATGGGAACAACGTAAGCACATCTAAGACTCTATTAACACACCCGTCCGAAATTTGTAACACAGCTGCAAGGCGAAGTTTGGTTTAGGTTCACACACTTGTTCACGGTTCATGGACACACAATGGAAAAGCCAACATCACATACGTCGGTTAACAATTGCAAGTTCCCGGCAATCGCAGTGACCTTGTTAATCGTTCCGCAACTCTTCTCTTCCGGTGCCATCTCATCTTTTCACTCTAGCGGTCACCTTCCTTTATAGCTACCCGATTCTCTGTTGGTGCTAGCAGGAACACGAAGAAGAAGAAGAAGAAACAGGTCACTGTGTCGGCACATTTTCATGTTTAGGCTTTAATTTTCAACGTGGGGTTACCAGAAGTAAAAGTAAAATCTATGTTTGTTACAGATTCACACTTAAGTGCAGTGGTTAGTATTCTTGATTTGTATCAAGGAAGCGTTTTCCCAAAGAACGTCTGTCCAGATTAAGTTTCTTCATGGGTTTTATTTTCAGCAAACTACTGGACTATTTTTTTTTAAAATATTACACGACAGATTATTTGCACTTTATTCCAAATTTAAAATTTAAAATTATCCCGAATTTTTATATCGTCTAGGCTACGCATTTGACGTAATATTCTTCTTAAATAAAATAAGAAACAAACAGTAACTCGTTTGTTGAATTGTTAAATACATGTCAGTTCATTTGTTATCTCTAATTTGGTTTGTGATTGTACGGATCGGTACGGACATATCTACGTCTATACGTCAGTACCAAAATCTGTTTTTCTAATTGTCATAATGAAAACCAGTCATAATTCAAATACTGTGACTCACAACGGTGAAGAATTGTCGATTACTTTGGTAAATATTCATGGCGTTATGTTTGTTATCCCGTTATTGTCCGTTGTTAGATTCACCTCTTGGTACGAATGTCATATTAATACGTCGTCTAACATCTAATATTGACAGCAAAACTTGAAGGTTTTAACGCCTCTGATACCACAGTAGGCCGCTGGGCGCAGTCATGAGCCAGTTTTATCCACTAATCGTCCTCACAACCCGTTTCACTTAATATTATCAAACTTACTGTTAGCAGTTTTTTTCTCATCAAAATTCTGTTATCATTTCTTAGCTCCAATGCCATGTTAAGCCCCACCATAAACTATCAAATTTCACACTACTCGAAGGACACTAACAAATGGTCTCTGTATATAATCAGCCTGAAGATGGAAACACAATGTTTCTCCGAAACGGTGGCATCTACCTACGAGTGTACACGGCTACAAGGGCCAGGAAAACATAGTGAATTATAACGTTTTTCATTACGTAATACTATGAATTGTCCATTGTTCTTATTTATTTCCGATTCAGAATTTTCTCAGATAATTAGTTCTTTCAAAATGTATAATCTTATGACACGATAATGACTATTCCTAGTTGCATTTTACCGATGGATTTCTTTACTGTTTACAAATAAATTGTCTTGTACTTAACAAGCATCATAACGTCAATGCCAATCACGTCATACAACCGAATACTATGTTAACAATTATGAATATATTCAATTCCTTTGATACAGAATTAGGTAAACTTAAAAGATGATATAATAACTTAGAAATTGAGTTTAATATTAAATTAGATTAATATTTAGTATGTACTCCTGTGAATGTATAAAGAAAACTCAGTGGAATATTTTGTCGGTACTTTGGGCGAAAGGAAATTTGTTACAAAAGAATTTGAAGGTGATTTGCAAAGGTTGTCGGAATGTGTTTTCAATTTATTAAGGCATCTGACCGAATAGACACTATCGCCGTCAAAGCTTGAGATTATAATTTATAAAAACTGTGTCTTTTAAATAAGGGAAAAAATGATAAAAGTATTAGTTTAAACCTTTGAAGCACAATTTTTGTCTAAATAATATTTATCGACTCAGTTTCTATCCCAAAGAAAACACAACCAGTCCCCATTACAAAAGTCAGTCGGTTAACACTGTTTAAGGAAATAATCACTGTTTATTCTGAGAATCGTGAGAAACTCACACTCTGTGGGCAAAATGTACAGTTATGGAATTTTAAACGTAAGTTTATGTAGTTACAACTGTGCTTTAAAAGCTTAAACATCTGTCGTATGCTGTCAAATCTTGGTACCGTAAAAATCATCAGCTGAACAGACTCACTAAGGATTATCATCACGAAACAATTTATGTGACGCTACTGCGACGCTGTTCAATATTTATGTGCTAGTACCAGATTACTTTATTAAATCCGGTCACTACGAGCCAAACTCTCTGCAGCTACCCTGATAAAATTAAATCTTTCACTAGTATTTTATGATGAAGTTTAACGTAATATTTAGACCTAAAATATTTTTATGCAAATTACGAAATTAATGTTGCAGCTGTAATTTTTGTTATCTGTATCATTTGAAATAAAACGCTTAATTTCTCCACGTTTCCCGATTTCTGTCTGTTCTTTCTTTCAGAAGACATTGCGATTGACAGCAGTCTCGTCCCGCGACGTCCCAAGAGAGGCGTGGAGTCGTGGAGCCATGCTCCGGCGTCGCACTGCACATACTGAACTCTTC